ATATTGTCAGACTTTAGTAATTTTTTATTTTATCATATTGCGATTGTTTAGTAAATTACTATAAATATAATACTCTCTAAATCTGAATCAGTGAATCACTTAGAGAGTACTAAGTTAGGTACACGGAAAAAAAATGATGTATCAACAGCATCATTTGTTATATCAACAGCATCAGTGTTATTGAGATAAAATTTATTGATGCAACATTAATATTAATGAACAAAAAACATCAGATAATTTTTTTAATAATTTATGTATTTGGTCCAATAATATCCAATTGAATTAACTACATATGCTTGTGGCAGCCCATGATGTCGACGTTTAATTGAAGCAACTTTATTCTTTTTCCGTGTATAAGTTTATATTTTCTTCATTTTGTCGTAAAATAGCTTATTGTATGTTAAAGAAGAAAAGAGCGATAGCGTATTTTGTAATTGATTTTTCTACAGTTACCGTATCGCAGAAAAGCATTTTTCTGAGATTTTCTGCTTTACTATTATATTCGTATATCTCTCTACTTTTTCTAGAACGCACGCAATTTGCGTCATGTATACGGATAGAGGACAAACGCATTACTTAGCTTTGTATAAATATATTGCATTATTTTCTTTATTTTTTTTTTTACAAAAGTTGCAACATGCTACTGCTTCTTTCGTCAAGAGCAGTTGGAAAATATGTTTTACGTCCTTTAACGTCGCAGAGTGAAAAACGGTGACCCGGTTTGAAACGAAGTTATAATGACATATGAGAGCCGATGGAAGATTAAGTAGAGGATGTAATCGTGTAGTCTCGATTTGCTAATTAGAAGCTGCGAAATGATGCGCGTTTCGTTCCAACTTTGCCATACCTAGTATGGTGTAATTTTGTTATTTAGTTAGCAGTGCGTATATAATATGCCTCTAATGAAAACTTGAAAGTTTGCACAAATTAATATCCTTGTATAAATAGATCCTTGATCCATGACTATTAACGATGTATGCGACGAAGGAAAGTTGCTGCGGTGAATATGTATGACTTGTGCTGATATTGAATTCCGACATGATTTCCGGCGTATATTATATTTCTCTCAGAATTGAATGTTCTGGTAGGAGAACCGTGCGGTAACCGCACATGTGAAATTCAGCGTTTGTAGGTTTGCAGGTAGCCAATTAAAGAGTTACCGCCAAGTTGATCGAGCACTGAGCTTTTCTTGAATATGATAATTGCGTATCTCATTGTGTCTACCATCATAAAATGGATACAGATATCTTTGGATCCAGAAAACAATTCAAAACGAAAATAATTCGCGATATATTAATATGTATACAATTTGTTTAGAATTTTATTTTTAACATTATTTTAAAATAATTTTTTTATTGTTATTTTAATTATATATACTTTGTTTTAATCAAATATTAAAAAAATAAAATCACAGAAAAAAAGGAATATTCTTGATTTGAAAATATCTTTAGTTTCAACGTTGAAAAAGTTAGAAATCTTGAAATGAGATTATATTGCGTTAAACGAAGAAAATTTTCTTGAATGAAGTCATTATATAATAATGTAATAAATGTTGAAATAAAATGTTGAAGTTCTTATAAGAAGATTATAGTAATCTTGCGTTATAACGAAACAATCTACATCTTCTTATAAGAATTTTAACTTTTTATTTCAACATTTTTTTTCTCGGTTGAACTATGTAACGAGTTCATTCAAGCAAGTTTTCTTCGTTTAACGCAATATAATCTCATTTCAAGATTATATATTCTTGCGTATATATGAGTATAAACAGTGTTGATTTGACATTTCTTTTTTTTCTGTGTTCTTATTTAAAAAGTATGGTATTTCTCTTATATTTAAAAAATGTGTATTGTTTAATGTTAGTATATTTTGTAAAAAGGCTATTGCGTTTTTTATTAAATTATCAATAAAATCTTATTAGCAATATAGCTTAAATTATTATAATTTTTAGATTGTTTGAGATTTCTATTCTGGCTGATGATTCCAAGAATAAATTAGTATAGACACACGGTACGCGCATGTTGAGTGCTCGTAAACCAAAAGCACTATAATTAGAAGTGCCACTTAAATTAGGATTATACACTGTCACCTGTGTCAAGTAATATTTCATGAAAATTATGGACACACAACTTAAATTTTTAGAAATTGGATAGTCACTACACGGTCCTTTAAAATTGATGGAAAGTGGACACGCTCATAACGTTATTCCTGCAGGGAAAATTGAGACTTTATTTCTGCTAAAACGAATTAAATGTCTCCATGAATCAAGAAATGCGATATTCTGAGAGAATGCGGATAAACAATCAATTTTCTATTTTTATTTCTATTAACGATAACCTTTTATATCCTCAATTACGGTAAATCCTGTTTTTATACAAAATTTCTAAAACCTATTGTTACAATAGTAGTCTCTTTCTCGCTCTTGGAACTATCGGAAAAAATACTTTAGCACTTGTTAGATAATCAATGATAGCATGTTTCTCAGTGTGATTTACACTAACTTTAATAGTGGGTTCGCTAGAGCGTATCGATCGAATTTTTAATTCACGCGCTATGGACATTTGCACGTATTCTATTTCAAGATGTTCTGTTTATAAATTTATATCATTCGAGTATACATAAGTAATGTCTGCAATTGAGATGTACAATGGACGCTGCACAGTGATAAATATTGTCGATATAGAACCATGTGCCAGACGCATCTGCATTTCACAGACAATCGCGCGCAACTTGCTGGGAATTTCAAAGTCAATCTTCTTGCAAGGTACAAATATAAGTCCCGCGGATGCCGCAGTGGAATCGATGGTAACGCTTCGCTTTGAAACCGGGATAAACGCATCGGAAATAAGAGGAGACACAAGAAGAAACTAGGGCACCGGAGCAGAGACATCGAACGAGAAATGGATATAAAAGGGTTAAGCGTTTTCGAAGATATATCGTCTATATGGGCATAATTTTCAGAACTTTTGCGTCCACTCTTCAGCCAGTTCAGCCGTTTTCTTGGTCACTTTTAAGAAGGAATTTATCTGTCTTTAATTCAACGTACGTATGGTTGTACATACATCTGCAGTTCGCTCACGATTACGTGTGAAACCGAAGCGATATTATTTAGCGAAATGTGTCCGAAGAAAATTGCTTATATGTTCATCTATATAACTTTTATTTACACGTCCATATTAACTATGCGTACTATGGTGTATCAATTTGTCATTAAAGAAACTGGAAATTACAGACCAATAATGTGCGTGGAAAAGAATGCTAGCTCCCGAAATAATATCCTTCTTCGATTTAAGACTGATTGAAAAGCAATTTGATTTTTAAAAGTTTGATCTTTTTATGAGGAATAATCAAATACTAAAAATAAGTAATTGAAAAACAGCAGGGATTGATTAATGTAATTAATAATTATAGGATTATAAAATGTGAATATAAACTAACTGGGCTTTTCTTTACTTGTACTAATTTATTATAATATATAAGTTTTCAAGATTTAATTATTTGAAACTTTACTTGTTACTTTATGAGAAATACATTATTATTAGGTATTAATGTTCCAAGATAGCTGTGTTTCAAGTCCGACAAATTTGCAGCGCGCAGTCTATTAAGTTGGAATATATGTATACAGTACAGTATATACATTATAATTCGTTATTACTTCTTTACTTAAGTATAGAATATATGAACACCAACACCTTGTTATGGCTCCACGCTCCATTTTTCTTCGTTTGATTTCTAATCATGTGAGCCTTTACTATTATTATACATATATTATTATTATTATTATCTATTATATCTTTACTCACTGTGAAACTTCACGGAATTAATGATAAACTTCAAACACAGTTTTTTGCTCCGCGTTTTTTTAAAACACGCTTTGATTTGCGTTCTGCAATGTATTTTTATTAGTTGTATTATATTTAGTTTTCCTTTTCTCTCTCTCTGTCTCTCGGTCTCGGTCTCGGTCTCGGTCTCTATCTCTACTCTCTATCTCTGCCTCTCTCAATTGATTCTTTCTACATCCGCTTTTATCTAAAAATAACGATTCTCCTTGGAGAATCAATGCAGCGCCATTGAAATAGTGACGTGCTCCCCTGAGAGTTTAAATCTACTTCGTTTCATCCGATTTTGTTTAATCCGCTAACGGCTAACGGAAATATTATATGCGCTGCTTATGATCATATAATTAAATTAAAAATTTTCAATTTGTGCCGATAAAAAGATAATATTTACGTTACGCGAGTTTTTGCTATTACAGTACGGTATGAAACCGTAATCTCTGCCGTACCGTGATTACATTTTCAAGTTAAAAGTCGGTTGCATCAACCGTGCTGTATTTTACACAGATTTTCATCATATCCAATATTGTGTTTTCATGCACTGAAGTGTACGTTATGCATGCTTTTCAAACAGAGATTTCTTGACTAACATGTTTTCGAGTACCCATGCGTGAAAAGTATAACAATACATAACCATAACAACACGTAAGCCGAACCACAAAGTATTTTTCAGAAAATTTTTCCAGAAAATACGTTAACAAAAATTTACAAAAATAGCGTTTTTAATATATTATGAATTTTATGTATATCACACAAGCTGCAATAATGCAGCTTCTTAGTCCTGTATTAATGCCGCGCTGTGGCATTAAAAGTAAAATAATCTAATCTTGCTAATATATGCATTTATTCTACTAAAAGTTAACATTTTAAGCGGATTAAAACAAACTATAGACCTTGTTAATGAAGCGTTTTGTATTTATCTGGTGAATTATTATATAGTTTATCGGATAATCGATGAACAATAGATGAGCCATGAAGAGACTGTGAACCGGTGAACTTCGATGATTGCACGCTTAATTGAAAATTCGCGTTCAATCTGACACATGTTTAACGACTTCGTTGAACTCTGATAATACGCCAATCAAATTTCCGGACTCGTATAACTGTTTACAATCGTGAAAATATCATATAAGCAACGACGGAAATTGCTGTTGCGCGTTTCAGGAAACATGGTGCAGACGATGGTGGCACATCTCTCAGAGGAGCGTTTCCCTCTCGGCCAGTTCCTACTCGCCAAAGTTAAATCCGCTTCTGATGAAGCAACTGAAAGAGCCTAAAGCCACGGAAAAGGAAGTGAAGAAAACTGCAAGAGTTACGTCGGCGGAAAAGGAGATCGAGAGCGTTGGTGAGTTACTCTTACCCTGTTTATTAAAACCAATCAAGCAAACGTATTGTATGGCACACAATGGAACGTAATAACGATCGTAATATTTATTTCTCTCGACTTTATCCGTAACTTGGAAGCATCAAAGGTTGTAGGGTCTCTATCCCAATACCTATACAAACGCGATTAATCTGAAAGATGTATCCTTTGAAAAATTTTTAAAAGCAACTACTTCACTTGCTTTTGTTGTTTGGTATATTTACCGTAATTTTTTTAATTTTCTACATTAAATAGAGTTTTGTAATTAGTTACGCGGCATGCAATTTTAATATGCTTACAAGAGTATGCATGCAAAAATATTCACGCTCTTAGTATCATTAACACATTTTCAGGCGCGCTGGTGCATTAATTGTGTAGGTATATACGCGATACACGAGATATGCAAATAATTCTTATCGTATTATATATATACAACTAAAACATTAAATCATCGCGTCTCCCATTCTCGAACGAAAGGTTAAAGGGAAACAAGACACGTAAAACGATTGAAGTACTGACACAAAGCACCCGTGAGTTTTTCAATTCCGCGTATAAAAGACACTAATAGAAAGCGAGCTCTTTCGCACGGATACGGAGAAGTTTCGTAATACTCTTTACTCAAAATTCGAGAACGTCTACCTGAAGATCGCTTTACACAGTATCAGTCATACTGTATAAAAGCTCGCAGTGTACATTTTACGACACTTGGTCTGCACAACTGATGTAACGCTTGACACCGGGCTCACACCGAAAGCTTTTACGATCCTCCGTATTTACGAATGTGCCACATACACATCTAAAATAAATCGATAATTGCGCCGCTCCTAGCGAGCAAACTGGGACTTTATTGCGTTTAAATAATTACGCCGCTGCGCAGAAAATATTTAACGTGTTTAACAAGAATTATGCTCATTTACATATAAATTGGACTTTTTACACTTTGCCTGCATTTTTGAAAGTTTTTCGTTATTCTTATCGTTATTAATGTTTTTTTGTTCTTAATAATAATAAAACACTATTCTACTATTCCACTACTAATTTTTACGAGTGATTGCGGTAATATTATTTATGCGAGTCATCATCGTGAGTCCACATTAAGACATTCCAGACCACATGTTGGGTCTTGGCTTGCCAAGACGTTCTCTGAGGTCCACAGTTAAACCTTCAAAAGAATCGATAAAATCAACGTCGTTCCAAGAATATATAATGTCGAAAATAACATCGTGTCGTCTGGGCCTTCAATATATCATTTAACTTGAGACGTGTGTTGTAAAATGTGACATTCAAGGCTAATCTTCGTGACTCGGTATTTATCCATCCTTTTTTCATCTGTTCAGTATGATGGTTTAAATATATATTACAGATAAATGTTTGGGATAATTATAAAATTTTTTTTGCGAAAACTTACAAGTCATTGTACAAGAATAAAATACCGGAAGGTCTCAATTTAATTTTAACGATGTCTAAAAAGAGTATTAATAATTGGTAGTTATGCAATAAGGAACCAATTCATTGCAATGATTTTTAGTTCTGATGTATTGCAAAATGATCTTGAACAGGACAAGATTTTCTTAAAACATGGAATTGTATTCGAGGAAGATTATAGTTTGGTCATTATATTTCAGACAACGTTGGCACAGAATTTTATTTCTGTTTCGCGAAATTTACTGTAGTGGAAAAGTAAAATTTTGGCCTTGGTTCCGCATTGCAGAACTGCGTCCAATTAAACAGTACTTAATAATTATATAATCTTTTGGAGAGAGAAAGAGAGAGGTAGAAAACATTAATAAATGAAATTATTACATATGATTATTTATTACACATTTAGTACACTCAAATTACATAGATCATTCGTACTTTATGCATTATATGCAATAGTATATTGAATCTTTAATATGTATTATATTTTAGTACGTAATCAATATTTATTACCTGTTCTAATATGACTCGTGTGGATTTATCCACCTGGAATAATAAACTAATTGATGGATAGCACTTCCGTACCAATAAATTACTTTGACTATCAATATACTCTCGCGATATTTTCGTTATTTGTCAAAAACACAGTCGCCAGAAACACATTTTTAAAAAATTCTTGTTTTATTTCCAGCAACGTTTATTCGATTGCGATTAAAATTTATCTTTTCGCAAGCTGGAATATCTTTTTTTTTCGCAAAAGAAAAATTATTTTTATTAACGTCAAGAAATATCTTCACGTAACATTTTATTAAAAATAATGATCACGTTATCTCCTGCTCTCATCTGTCACAGTCGCATCAAAGAAATAAATATCATACAAAAGATAATTCCCGTTCAGGATGTTTGCGCGTACTGGTTTTGCTCATCGATCCCATTGAGACTATCCTCGAGCACCTCGAACTCCTCGAACTCCATTTTACCGAAGTCATTGCCGACCTTCCAGCTCGAGTTCACCTCCCATCTCGTCAACGCACTCGGCATGAATCTACTCGGATAATTGGATCTCGAGTCGTCCAGATCGTCCAGCTTAAAGTCAGCTTTGAACGTCTTCCTCGTTTCCTTAGAATCTTCTTTCTTCGGCTCCAAACCAATCACCACCGGCGGTTCTCTCTTCACCTGTTCGACCTGCTCGATCCCCTCGTCCCTTTGTGCCTCGTCTTTTTGCCTGCTGTCGATCGTCGTGATCTCGATACTGGGTGTCTCCGCGATGGTACATTGTCTGAGATCGACGCATCTGTCGCGATTGCGACGCAACGATTGTCCCTCGACAAGTCTGCCGGCCAATTCCAGCCTGCTGTCGCAGGAATTACTCTTTACCAGCTTGAACTTTACGTAATCGTTCGATTTGTCGACACGCTTGAAACCGTTGCCGATCAACGGCGATACCAACGGTCCGTTGTGCATGTTGACCACTTTCCCGCCGTAATAAGTTACGGAAGTGCCGCACTCGCGGATCTTTCTCAGCACGTCTTGGGACACGTAATGCCCCGGACCATTCGCATCCGCGTCGTCATCGTTGCAATTCATATCCTCGTCATCGGACGACGTGCAATGAGCACCGCTTCCGGGATCGGTGTCGGGATAATCGCTGGACACGCCGGAACTCACGCTGCCGGAATCCCAGTTTTGATGATGATGATGATGATGATGATGATGATGATGATGATGGTAACGACCGACCTTGTTCTTAGAACAATTAGAACCGCTTGGCGACGTATTTCCGCTTCTGGCTTCGAAACTTTGCGCGAGAATTCTTGTTTTTGACTCGCATCGGGGACTTCCGAGTTCCTCCTTGGCGACGGAAACTGTCGATGACGCGGACTTGGTCTCGAAGAGTCTCGTGAGATCTTTTGCTCTGCTGGAACATCTGGATCTGAACATAATATACATTGGTTATGACTATTCACGAACGATCGAGGGATGAATCAAAATTTTTAAGGCTTTGGCTACATTAGTTTTAGTACATTAATTTTAGTATAAACGACTTACTCTTTCGGTTAGAACTTTCACCTGTAACTTTAATGAAATTTTGCTTATACTATTATCTTAGTCGCGAATAATCAAATTGCAAGATTACTTAACACGCAGGCGTTCCAATGTAAACTTTGTCATCCATTGTTCCCTTCGTTCCCATTAAACTTAACGTTATCTCTGGCTGATCTATCTAGAGTACCATCACCTTATATTTAATTCATCCTTCAACTAACGTACTAAAAACAGTTGGCCTTATATAAGCTACCAACTGGTAGCTTATATCGTCAAAGGTATGCTTATCGTCAAAACATTCACATACGCTTCGTGAATAATAAAAGTTTCGTCGTCGACGACATTCAATATTATGCTACCTGGATTCTTCGCGTGTCTTGTCGGATATTTCGTCGTACCGACCGTCGTCGAGACTAGTCAGATCCTTTATGCTGACACTCCTCCTGGTCTTGTCGTCCCTGGTAAACTCGGCGTCTGCTATGCTTTTCTTCTTCTCGAGAGTGTTCTCGAACATGCGTCTTACGTTTCTGACGGTATCCGGATCCGGTAGCTCTTCGTCAATCAGCTCACGGTTCACCCGTATAGGTTGGTAGAAGAAGTGCTTTCGTATGGACGACTGTCGAGAGCTTTTAGCGCTACCGGCTTCGGATCGTTCGCCGTTTCTCTCGCGGTTCTCCATCTTCTTCTGGATCGCGCCGGCGATCATGCACGTGGGCTCCGCTCTGGCCAACGGCGACGATTTCCGCTCCACCGGCTCGGCGCGGACCGGCTCGATGATGACAACGTTATTGTCCATCAGCAATTCTTGGAACGAATACTCGCGCAAATACTGCATCAATCCCTCGTACGTGACATCGCCTCGGGCGGTGCTGAACATGTTCTTGCTAAACATATGCGACTTGACGATCTTGTAGCGCACGTGATCGAACTCCGGACCGTCGTCCTGGCACTCGATCGAGTCCGCGCAGCTCCTGGATCTGATGAGATTAGTGTGTGACTTTTTGCCATCGCTTGTTCTTAGCACGGTGGTATTATTGGAGTTTTCGACGTTTCTCAACGGCCGGTCGTCCTCGATACTGTCGTCCACCGATCTTCTGCGGGAATCGCTACCGGATTCGGAGCCGAGACCGAGATCCGAACTCTCCGATCTCGCCTCGAAGCCCAGGCTGCCCTTTACGACGTTGCACGCCTTGCCGAGAATGTTGGATGTCTCTTTTACGATCCTCTCGAATCTGCCCTCGTTTTGCTTATTTCGCGCTGCCTCCTTCTCGGTGCTCTTCCGCTCGAAGAAGTTTCTCGCGTTTTCCACCGTCGCCCCATTTTCCACATTTTCCGGTGTCGTAGCTTCCTGCAAAATTAATTCATCATTTACGTTTCTGCTCCATTTCCAGCCTGGAGATGTCGGTTTTTATTAATGGAAAATGTTAAGGGAGAAGATGAAGTCGTGAAATTAAAGTGCAACGACGTTACAAATTGACAACATTATAAATTACTTGGCGGAAACAAGTATTTAATCGAGTAAAAAACCACTAGGAAAATATAGATGTTAAAGTCACAGCGCAAAGTCGCAAAAACTGTTCAATATTCCATGTGCAGTGTACGTGCAAAAAGTTTAGAATCTCTGTTTTACACTTTTCTAGAGAAGATTTCACTTTAGGGAAAATTCAATCTCTATTTCTTTTGACGTTACATTTTTATGGTCTCAAAAATCATCGTTTTTTGAAAAATTGTAATGAGAAGGACCCAATCGGGGTCGAAACGTTGTGAGACGAATGAATAAATAGAAATTGGCCAGTTGGGTCGCTTAATCTCGATTATTAAAAATTGTAATGTCTGAATTGTTTTACGAACAATTATAGAAAAACGAACTGATTGACGATAAAAATGATTAAAACTTTTATTCTTATCAATACGAATATTCCATTTCATACTAACTTTCGCTTTTCTTCCATGAACTTCGTCCTCCTCGTTCGCATTGCTAATCGATTTAATTACGGAGGCATCGATACGCTCATTTGCCTCTTTCGCGATCTCTTGCGGTCTCTTATCCTTTGGCACGTCCTCGACGATAGCGTCGATTTCTATGACGGAACGCCGATGGCGTCTCCTAGTGACGTCACTGTCGACGACTTTGAGAATCTGCGGTCTTCGCGACATCTCGTTCCGGTCGGCGTTCAAAATCCAGATCGACTTGTAGTCCTCGACCTCCTCGATCTTCTGATCCTCCTCCTCGCAGGAGGTCACGAGATTGTCGACATCGGCTTCTCGATGATCGGTCTTGGATGAGGAGGAGGGCGCGTCCTTGTTCGCCGAGCTAATCTTCGAAGCTGCTCCGTAACTCTCGTCGGCCTCTCGATGCTTCCGCCGGCTCGAGTCGGTCCCCTTGGACGAGTCGAGATCCTCGCGGGCCTCTTTCTCAGGTTTGTCGTCGGCTCGAGCGGGATTATCCTCATTCACTGTATGCTCCTTACATTTCTCCTCGTCCGTAGCGTTGCTGCTCCTCGTCGGCGAGACCTCGCTCGCGCTGTTCGGCTCGTTGTACTCGAGCACTCTTAAATCCCGTAAACCGTGTACCTTCTTACGCGCGAAATTACCGTCCCTCGATGAACCGGCCTCGTTGTATCCCAGCCGTATGTTGGAGAGAGGCAGCAAATTCAGTACGTCGAAGTATTCCAATTCCCCGTCGTCTTCGAAAAGAACGCTGTCTAAGCTCCTGTGCTCCTTACGTTTGCGTTTCACCTGATAAATGGAAAAGCACATCTAAGCGCGTGCTTTTCATGCATTCTTTTGTATAGAAAGTTTTATTATCCAGATAATTTTCAGGGTAATTAATTTCCTTGTAAAATCAACTTTTTATTATAAGAAAATGTTTTTATAATAAATGCAGTGATATTTGAAAGAGTTAATTCTTGATTCAACTCACTGTCCTCTCGGTTATGAAAATAATTTTTGTTATTTGAGTTTAATGAGAGTTTGCAAGTAAGAATTCGATCGTTATTTTAATTTTACGGAACTCACAGAAAGATATTATTTTACTACCAAATTTGTGGAGAATCAATCTTTTTGTTGCCCAGTTGAAATTTAATTAAGCAGCTCTCAAATATGTAAAACGGTACTAGGAAACTTGTGGCCGAGACATAATGATCTCTATCATTTTAATTAATGTTGGTAACAAACTTCTTAATCTTGCTACATTGAGGAGTCCCGGCACGACTGATCTCAAACACGATACATCACTTCATCGAGTGAATTTTAATCAAATTAATAATTGGAAACTTCACCCCATAGCAACTTCCAATATATTATACATCATCATTACCGTATCGTAAATGAAGTTATCCATATGTAATACAGCTAATTACAAAACTATCTAATTAAACACCATGATTTGTTATTTTCTCTATGAATAATGATAACAAAGCCAGTTTTAATTGATCGAATAATCTGATGTTAATCCTCTCAATAACGAAAGCTCGAAATGAAAGATCTTTCTCTCCTGATGCACAAAGCAAATTAGTGTAGCTTTCTAATTTTTTTATCGACGAAAAATGTGTATTTCACCTGCGTATATATGCAATCAATACTCCGATTGCCTTCAATAGGCCAGTTATCTTCGACAATATCGACCAATCCGCTTACTGTATCCAAATTCTGCACGCTGCGATATCGCCTCGGAGGATCCGGCCAATCGAGAATATTCAGTCGATTAGGATCGTCGCGGTTTCTTCGCGTATGAGGCAGTGGATCTGGAAAAGACACGAGACTCGGCGGGATCGAGTGAAGGCCGCACGTCGAGCGCGAATGAAACGATTTTGCCTCGTTGAATCTCTCGTAAGAGTCCGAAAGATGCTGCTGACTCTTGGAGAGTCTGGAACAAAGTACAGATCTGTTGACCGATTGCCCCGGTGCGCGGTGGAATAAAATTTGCATTCATAAAACTCGAAAGTGTTCGTAAAATATAGGAAATATAAGTCGTGAGTAAAAAGAGCATCTGCAGACGTCTCGTGACTTCAATGACTTATTTGAGTTCATCGAATCTAATATATGCTGAGTGGAAATATTAGCTGATTAAATTATTAAAAGAAAGAATATATTGAACAGATTTTTATTTTAATCTTATTAAATTGAAAAAATAATTCTATCAAATCGGATTGCTCGTTATCAGCAATCGATTTCGAACCAGTACATTAACTCAGTTAAAAGAACGCTTTATGAACGTACAGAACTGCAGAAATTTCAATATTCCTATCTCAATTAATTATTAGAATCCCAATCACTTAAATATTGCGCGGCAAAAAATATATCTGGAATTAACAGGTTTTTTATTCGTCAATGGAAGCTATGCATCGAGTTAGATTGCTTTCAATGAACCGTAAATAGTTGACAAAGACGAAAAAGTCAGTTGTTCTCTCCATAAGTTGTGAACAACTATTTGATTTGATTTCTCAATGGGGGAGGAGATATCAACTTGGAATCGTATTTCAGCAAAGTTTTTTCGTAAAGTTCCTGTCACTTTGAGAGGAATTCTAAGTCGTTCGAGTGTTTTGTTGAGGAGCGTCGTTCGTCGCTGACCGATCGAGTTTCGATTGTGCTCGGTTGCAATTTGCTGATCGCCCTAAGCGAATAATGCGAGTTTATAGATCAAGAGATCAAATTCATCGCGCATGAAGAAATTCAACTGCTACAATTGGGCTTGTTGGTGGTTAACTGTTCGTTGTTATCTCAGTGAGATTATTATTAAGATATTCTGGAAGCCTTATTCATCAAAATAATCTTAGATATACCTCGAAAGGAACAATTCTCAAATTAGTTGACTAATGCGCTATCTAATATTAATCTTGTTGAAAGCAGCTATTAGATAGTATAGCCTTTCGAACCTTTATTATCATCTTATTTCCCGCGTAATGGTTGTTGCCTGATTAAAAAATAATCAGGTCAAGAGCGCGCTTTTGCGATCGAATCTTTCTCTTGATGACAGGCTCACCTGTCCTTGAGGGAATTCCGATCGATCAGTTTGGCCCGCGGTATCAATTGATATCTCTTGGGCAAATCGAAGGTCGACTGGCCTAGCCGAAAGTGCGCCGCCTCTCGATCTTGCCGGGAATCGTCCTCCGATATCACTGCGAGACTTCTCGTACGCTTCAGCAGCTTCCGGCGATCCTGCGTCGACTGTGCCGAGTGGGAGTCGTAGCGGCTGCCCTCTCTGCAATTAAAATCGCGCAATTGCGTGGTAACAGCTGTTTAAATCATAGGAAACGCAATCATAATAAAATCATACGACAAGTTCCTACCGGGTGCAACACGCAATTGATGTATTTTGCATTGTACAGGCTGCATCGGAGGGAGCACTTTCTCCCATTTACGGATTCTCGGGGGGGAAATTTAAGCTACTTTTACCTCGGTAACAACATTAAGTTTAGAAATGTAATTAAAAAGTTGCATAACTTAATTCGAAAGTTTTGAAAATCATCTCGTGAGCAATAGTCTTGAACTTTCACTGTAAATGTATAACGATTCTACATTCTTCAGTTAATTTCGTTTAATTAAATGCTTCGTGCGCTGATAAAAATGGAATTTTTATTCGAAGCTTAATTAAAATAGATTTAGTGTTGAAAATAAATTTAAACACTATGACTGTAATTGCTCCAAATTAAGTCTTTATTCAGGAGAAACCTATCACGAACTACCGGATGTATCCAAGACCTATTAATTAGCTTATATTGCTTGTATAATGTACACACCCCGTAGATTATTGAAATGTTCAATATATGTATTATGGATACGCAGACCCTTACATTTCTTGAATGATGAATGAATGAATAATCCTTACAAAGTAATAATGTATATTTAACAACTAATAAACCTTCGAGCATCGCCCTACGCTGCGCTGGCACAAGTTGGAGGACATAAAGTGGCGTATTAACTTTAATGGCCCGTTAATTGCCATAAGTGGCTCAGGTGAGCCGCAATTCATTAACGTGTAAATGTATTGATATGTATATTCGTCTCTTCTTTTATCGCGCGAGGAGTGAATCGTCACATCAACATCATATTATAGAAAATTATCTGCGTACAAATCAGCGAGTTGAATGAACCCAGAAAAATTTCTGTCGAGGGAAAAAGGGCATAATAGTACAATAACGAGTCTTTACGTTTACGAGAATGTCTTTCGAGTTTTTCTGCGAACGGCGAATTTCCTCGTTTTATAAAAAACAGCCATTTAAACAACCTTTTAAGATGGAATTTATCATTTGGTTTTTTTATATATATTTAAAAGATTATTATTTTAAATAATTATACTTTTTATCTTGTAGCATGACAAATCGTATTTCCAGTTATCATTTTCTTCGCCTGATGTTCGCCATGATTTACCGTATCCGACTGTGTATTTATAATGGATGCTAATTAAACACCTAATTATACTACGATATGATAACTGTGTTAGGCGTGTATCTCCTATTCCCTATTTTCATTTAACAAGTAAGTTATTTATACCGGATAATATTGTAAGTGGCTTTTTCACACATACATAATAAATACTAGAATGAGTTCGATAAATTAGTATCTAATCTACATCTAATAAACGCAAGTTCGAATTACAATTGTAAAATTAATTTTTTGCATTGCTGGACACGTACTTTTCCATATTTATTTAACGATTTTTAACCTTAGCTCGCCACATTCCAGTCCGATGGACCGCTGAACGTTTTTCGGTTTTTTTTTTTTAATTTTTACATAATAACATAATTTCCTTATAATAAGTTCAGTTTAAATTCAAATCATTTTTTTGACCTGATATTATCATAAACATCTTATTCAGAGTTTATATTTCCAATTTCTACAGTACAAGCTTAAAAATATTAATTAGAATGAAAATGACAATGCGACAAAGTCGAGCTGTCTCACGGACTAAAGTGTGGCGAATTAAAGACTCGAAAATAAGCTATAGGGTTAAGTTCACCTTAGAAATGTTAAAAGAATAGACCATTTAATTTTTAGAAATTTATTTTCTGAAAATTGGTTCAAAAAACATTATAAGTTGAATTGTACACAGATACATTTCTATGTTAGAGATTTTTGTTATGATATAAAACAAGATCTAAAAATTTGCGTCTTTCCAGTAAAATTGCTTTTATTACTCGAAGTGCGGAATTAAATCGCTCGCCTTGCTCCCATTTACTCCAGAAAATGTAGCAAAACTGCGAATTTTTCGCCGGTGACGCTTACGTGCTAAAATAAAACGGAAACTATGTTCGCTATTTTTACATTATATTTCTCATTTTCTAGTTATATCACACAATGCTTTTAATCCCAGTTTTGAAAACAAATTCTTATCGTTCTTTTCTGAAAATAATAACGTAAAAATTAAACTTTGTATGGAAAAGTAATTTATAAGTTGATAAATTAAAATATTCTAGTTAAACTTCAATACTTAAACGCTAACATTATACGATCGAGGTTCAAAGTTTGAACAAGAATGCCGAAATTACAATATTATCATTTTTTAAATATTTTTCTTGATTAAAGAGAGGACATTACGCAAAGCTTATTTAATATGAAATCAAAGATCGTTATGGCTAATTTGCTTGTCTAACTGTTTAAGTATGCTTATAAAAAGAATACTGTACGTGTGTATAATCAATCTTTTTAATCAATAGTGGATTAAAATTCACGCGCCATTTCATTACTCGGCCATGCTAATTACAAACACTAGAATCAAGATGTGTAATTATCCTCGCTCCTCTATATATACGCTGACAAGATATTTAATTGATGTTAACAGAAACATGTTGGCAAAACGCAGAAACAGAAAAGCGCGTGTGAAAATCTCTTTCGAAGAATCTTGCATTATGACATAAGACGCGAAATAAAAATGAAAGATATGAATCTGCCGTCGCATGCATATCTTTTTAGATTCCGAAAATCTTTTACGAATATCGCGATATGTAGTGGCATGCCTACGTACATTTATGTACATCGTGTGCGGTTTTTTCCATTTGAACATCCGTGAACATACTGAAAAGACGGACGTGTCCTTTCGGCCGACTGCCCGTCTTAACGAACGTGAATCCTTGAAGTCCGAATGCAAACGGCGTATCGTCGTCTCATTGTGTTCGTCTATAAGCACGGCGGCTGGTTACGTAAGATTATCACGAGTTATCTCGGGTAACTTTGCACGCCTTTTCAATGCATACATATGCAGATCGGTCTCAGGTGACTACTTTTTTCTTCTGGTTTCTTTTTCTTTACATAAGTTTTACACGTCACTGCGTCAAAGTTTGACTTTTTCATTAATAGGCTCGTGGAAATGTTTCATAGAATTGATCGGTTTAACAGAACAGAGCGAGCCTGTTAACAACACGAGATTTTTATTATCGCGTTAATTATAGGATATAATTTTAGGATTTCTCGCGAGTTTTGAAACGCTTTTTATTCACGCCTGAAAGTTTCCTTGTTTCCTACGCTATGACGTAATCGCTTACTCTAGTAGCTTTATTTCCTTTCGTGTCTTGACGAGCAAAAGATGATCGGTTATCATTAAGGTGTGTGATAGAACACGCTCAAATTGTGACCAATCAGCTTATCTTGTTACTCTAATTACTCGATGACGCTTGTAAATCGGAAACTATGCTGCATGCGCTCGCAAAGATCGGGGAGGACTGTAATTGCCCCAATTTGAAACGGCGAACAATTAATATCCAACCATGTCGATCTAATTTTTTTTGCACGGAAACGAGAATATTCCAACTGTACACTCAGAGAAATAAATAATCGGAAAATTGGTTCAAAAATTAATAAATGGATAATCCGATACTTTTAAGCGGAATTATAAAAGCCGATCAAGATTAGAATAATGTCCAATCAATGATAGCCGGATATTACTTATTGATAATTGATCGGCTTTTTAATTATTCCGATTGAAAGTGTCGGATTGTCCGTTTGTTGATTTTTGAACGAATTGTCCGATCATTTGGACCTGGATTTTTCTCTCAGTGTACAATCAAGTTATCAAGATTAATGTTGTTTGAATATGCATGAGGCATTAAAATATCGATTATGCGCGCAAGAATATTATGTCGTCAATCTGGTGGAAAAATGGTAATCGTAGCTATCGTCCTTTATAAAATCATACAATATAAAATGCTCTCGCTGGAAGGAAAATAACATTTTCTTAAGTAGAATAAACCTATTTCTGACGTATAATATCAAGGGAGAGAACAAATATCACTTTGTTGAAGCGAGCTGAATTTCGCTTTTGATGTGGTACATCAAAAATGGAACAATTCCACAGTGCAACAGTACTGCAGGCTACGCTCGTATCAAAGTTTCTGAATATGATATATGTCTATATACATAGCAAGCAGGGAAAAAAATAAAAATGCTATATTATGCGCATATATATAAACGTTAAAATATATGTATTTCAATATTTCTGCACATCAGACGTTTATTCTGTGTGCGAGACATGACGAAATTAAAACCAGTCGTGATTTCCGGTCAATAATGGTCTCTATATGGTTGCACCTGTATTCAGGTAGCACCGCGCAAAGAAAAGACAGGGCTTTTTGCACGTAGTGAAACGCGACGGGAATATCCTACGTGACCGGGCCGGAAGAAGTTCCGCAGCGTGAACAGTCGATGGTTAACATCCGACCGACGACGAAGTCGGTTGTCTCCGTAAGACTTCACGGGTCGAGGCGCACCGTCTTATATCGCGGCATTTATAAAATAAAACTGCGCAATAAAAAGATACATAATCCCGCGTTTTTTAAAAGACCTACATTAACCCACGTATAGGAAAATTGAGTGGAATAATTTATGCCATAAATTAGAATGTATAGCAATTGCTTCCGCCCTTGCGAAATTTCTATCACAGAGTACATATAACGTAATGTTCTTCTCGAAATATATACATATAATGATTTTTCAAATTAATAGGTTCATGTAAATGTAAATTTGAAATAAAAGAAAAATTACTGTTTACTTCCAAAACAATATCTTTAATTTGTTTTTCTTTCTGTTGTTGCGCTTCAATTGGAAAAGTTCACGTTAAAGTAACATTTCCTCCGCTTTCCAGGCATTCAACATCGTCGAGTCGAAATTGCGAACTTAACGAAGAAAAATCGTACTGATAATACCGGAGATAGAAGAAGTAAATCTGAATTGCCGGTGTATTTATGGAACACACAAAGAACAGCTCGA